CTAGAGAAAAGATATAATCACTACTATGGGGCACTGTATGTGTGCTTTTGCAGCTGGAGGAGCATCGCAGTGATCAGAAGCAGATGAAAGTTCTCCAGAAGAAGCTTCTCCAAGTGATGAAGGAGAAGGACCAGCTGCAGGGCGAGCACAGCCGTGCAGTGCTGGCTCGCAGCAAACTGGAGGGGCTCTGCAGAGAGCTGCAAAGACATAACAAGACTTTAAAGGTAGCTCAACTCCAGACATCACTGCTTGAACAGTGTCTAATCAGAGATGCCGAAATCGCCATTTGCTGTTGAGCTATGGTGCCAGGTGGTCCCAGCATATTTTGTGCTCTACAGGATATGACATCACTGGCACTGAAAATCTGCTGTCATGTCAAAGCTCAAAGTTTGACCTATTCCACTGCCACCCTCAGAACTCCTGTTGTGAAGCCAAGTGTTGTTCAAAACAGCAGAACTTTAGCGATGATCCCTGATCAAATATGCATGTTTTTGCTTGCAGTGTAGCACGTTTTAGTCAAGATTGTTTTGGTGTGAGCTGCTCAGTTTCAGAGCTTTTTGATGCTTTAGCAACTATCACCTTTATAACAATCATAAGAACTGTGCAGACAACACTGCAGTTCAGTTTAAAGGGTTTGCATTCTCTCTTTTATAAGTTTAACATCATGGATGCTTCCTCTTGTACAGTGATACAGTTCCTTCATGAGCTTCCTGCATGGCTGCTAGCTGGAGCAATAGCAAATTATATAAATCAGTGGTGGTGCACAAGACAAACAAAACGGTTGAGCATTTATATGCATCTTGCAGTGCAGGTTTTAAAGCTAACACCCATGCTTGAATCGCAGGAGGAGACCCTGCAGAGGTGCAGAGAGGATGACCTAAAGAGGAAAGAGATCACCACCCATTTCCAGGGCACGCTCAGTGAGATTCAGGCCCAAATTGAGGAACACAGCAGCCGCAACACCAAACTGTGTCAGGAGAACGGCGCTCTTGCAGAAAAACTGAAGGGACTCATTTCACAATACGACCAGCGAGAGGCGGTATGGATCCTGCTACACTGTGAACACACACGGACACTTGCATAACATAACAGCAAAGCCAATTTGTACTCCCAGTGTACATGCATTATTAAAACTGGATAAACTGTTCTTGTGTAAACCTTCTCACATCTGTGCCCATGAATTATTTGCAGATTTCTCCCAGGTCTTACATTTATTAGTTACACTATTTCAGTTTTATGTAGCCAAAGGCTCCCAGAGCGAGAAATGAAACAGCTTTCTCTGTGAAAACGACTCATAAATCCACCTGAATGTCTTCCAGAACCTGGAAAAGGTTTTCAAGCACAGAGACCTGAAAGAAAAGCTGCTGGAAACCAAACTCGCGCAGGCAAACATGCTGCTGAAGGAAGCAGAGGAGAAGCATAAGCTGGAAAAAGACCATGTACGTTTTTTCGTTGTGCATTTTAATAAAAGATTTGTTGTAATAATCCCCTAATGCTCATTTTTCTTTACCATTTCAAAATCACACAGCTGCTGAAACAGGCAGCAGAATATAAACTGCAAGTGAAGGTCATGAAGGAGCAAGAGATCGATATGAAGGCCCAGGTATGGTATCAGGGCATCATGGGCAAAATTGGATCATTTTTCTACCTCCCTGGAGAAAAGTATAATGTTTTGTTACCATTCTTCCTCAGCTTGATATGTACTCCAAGAAGTTTGATGAATTCCAGGGCACAGTAACAAAGAGTACCAGTGTCTACAGCAGCTTCAAACAGGACATGGACAAAGTAAGTTTGGTTTTACAGAATATTTGAAGTCGGCTTCAGGAGATTAAATTATTGAGTTTTTCTGCAAAAAGATGATGACAAAGATGACAAAAATACAAATGAGAGGAAAGAATCCCATGAGCCTTTCAGTAACACTTCAAAAACTGACAAACCTTATAATCCTACACTTGCTCAGTTGCAGCTATTTTTAGAAGATACTTTGATTGTCTGCAGCATAACATGATTTTTTTTGTTGTTGTTGTGCAGATGGCCAAGAAAATGAAAAAGCTGGAGAAAGAGTGCCAGTCATGGAAGACTCGCTTTGATGGCTGCAATAAGAATCTTATTGACATGGTGGCAGATGTAAGAATTTTTTGTTGTTGTTTTAATTCATTAATACCCTCATACATAGATAGATTTTTAAAAAAATATGACCCACCAGGGAAAAAATTCAGTTTACCATAGGAAATTTTATACAATATGTTAAAAAATTTTTTTTACAGAAAGCAATCAAGGAAAAGGAGTTTGAGCTTCTCACCATCAAAAACCAGAAGCTTGAGAATCTGTGCAGGGCTTTGCAGGAAGAAAGGAAGAGTCTATATGCAAAGGTGCATGGAGCTGGCAGTCAACCAGAGGACAAGTCTGTTGATCCATCAGAGAAGGGGGGCTCTGAGAAGACACCTGAAGACCCAAATGAGAATCAGCCCATCCAGAATACTGCAGCACCTGCCCCTACCGGGACACCAACGCTCACAAGTCCGCTCACCGAGGAACTGGCTACACTGAAGGCTGAACAAGCCCTTCTGAAAGAGGTCGCCAGTTCTTTCACAATCTCTCACATTGCCCCTACAGAAACAGGCACAAGTCAATCACATGAACCCACCAAGGAGCCAGAGGAGAACCACATAGAGCAGAGCGAACACCAGGAAGTCCACGAAGATGGATACCAACAACAGAGAGATTTGGAAATGGAGTCAGTTGATTAATGTTGAAATCACTGTGAAAAGAAACCATGGTCATGTGAGATTCTTAGCAATAAAAATAAAAATGCTACATCTGTGTTGAGTGTCTGATCCTAGTGTAAAGACATTTAAAAGTGGGTTTATTTTAGTATGCAAATCTCCACCTAAAACTACACAGATTAAGATCTTCTTTAACAAACCAGAGCTTTTCCAACTACCCATTTTTTTCTCCAGTAACAGTTTTGTAAGACTCAGTTCGATACCACGAGACCCCTCCCAGCAGCCTCAGCCTATAGCAGCATATCTAAACGAATGTTCAGGCACATCTAATGTAGCTGTAACTTTAATCGTATATCAAAAAGGAAAGTTTTAAGTCCAATATTAAAAGTACAAATCCAAATACAAACTGGTTCTGGAATCACTCTGTAGAGAGTCTTGGCTTTAATTACTTGTGTTGTAATATCGCTGCGCTTCACCCAGTCTAGGACCTGATAGGATCTAGTGAGCATGGAAACTGTTACATAAGCAAACAAGATTGTATTTTTTCAGTATTAAGGTGGCTAGCTAAGGGCTAAGAGACAACAGAAATTCACAAGAAAACAAAAACTGAGTCCAAAGTTGAATGAATTTAACTACAAATTCACTAATTACTGATTACGTAAGCAAAATAATCAGTTTTTCTGGCCTTTGTTTCATACACATTCAGATGCATTTTGTTTCTGGCTTCATTTTTGTCTTCAGTAATTAAAAGGCATGGTCTATTGGGCCAACATCAAATGACTGGCCTGGGCATTGAAGAACATCCCATTTCTTTGCCATGATAAACTCTTGGGTTTCTCTTGGGTCATTATCCATTTGCCCTGTGAAACAGTATCTGATTAGTTTAGCAAAATCTGTCTGGAGAGCCCTTTACACTTTATAATTTATCTACTATTTCTATTAGCAGTCACATCGTTAACAAACAGAGGTGGCTAGTTCCATTGGGAGCCATACCATAATACTGACACTATCATGTTTGACAGATAATGTGATATTCTTTGGATCATGAGCTGTTTTTGTCCTTCTTCACACTTTTCTCTTCCCATCTTTTTGTGAAAAGGTAATATTAGTTTCATCTGCCCAAATATATATATATATTTTTCAGAACTGTTCAGACTCCTCACGAGTTTAATCTGTCCTTCCTGGTCTTGGGTTTGCTTTTCGTGTTGCTGAGCTGGTCACTGCATTCCTTCTCTGTACCAGATTGTTGATTTGGGCACTCCTACGTTTTCTCTCTCTGTCCCGGAAATGTTTATTTTGGTTTTCAGCTAATGTTGTCTCCTTCACTTCAATTGACATCACTATGGATACTGAGATGTCTACTAAATGTTCAGCACTTCAATTTCAGATCGTTTAGCTGCTTAGTTTGTCATGGAATAATGGAACAATGGATCTCACCTGCTCATTAAAAAAAAGTGTCCAATTACCCGTGAACACAATTATTAGTATCCTAATGTGATACTGTACCAAATCAGTGAACAGTTATAGCATAACTAAACGATAAAATGGGCTTGATGTCAAAGAATGTATTTTATTTTAGAATTTTATTTCCTTTCTTTCACCTTTCTGTTTTTTTTGGCTTTTATTTCAGTTTTGATTAAATGTTTTGTTACAAGTCATTTAAAACCTGCAAACAAACACTTGTGTCACAAATCAGTGACGTTCCCCTTTAAACTGAGCTTCAGTCAAAAATCTTTTGGCTCTAAACTTGGCCAGACTGGACTTTGAGAGAAAGCAGAGGCAGTTGTTACTGCAGTCCCCGATAAGAGGCTGGAGAGTTTAAAAGAAAAATGGCAGAACAACCAGATTCAACTGCAATTTCTTGTGCAAAAGCTCTCTCATCTTTTGTCGAAAAAGGAAAAGCTCTGCTGGACCTCGCTGAGAAGGAAAGCAGGGAAGGTAGGTCACACAAGTGTACATAAAAATAGACACCAGTCGTCAAACAATTTATGGACGTAGCATGAGCAGGGGTTGCAGAAGTCCTATCAATCGTTATACATAAAGAATCCTCTGAAACAGATGGTTAGCTGCTAACTTCATGCACTTTGTGACGCACAGGCTCGTGCCAAGAATTCGTCAGGCAGAAAATCCGCATAGAGCGTAAACAGTCACTGCTGGGTCTGATTGAAGCCGGTGCAACTCTGTACAACAGGTCTAAAGTCCCACCTTCAGTTTAACTAAGCAGCCTCTTCTGTTAAACCTTATTATATTTAATATTTTTAGCTAAAATATGTAATGAAGTGTTATATTTCAGGCCCATTTTTTCTGCTTCACAGCCTGTCTGTTAAACAAAAAAAGGATGCAGAGGATCTCTGGAGCAAAAATACAAAGTAAGAGCACAAAAATTCAACTTGTACAATGTATCGAGGTATTATCATCTAGATTACATGACAAAGGCCAAATCAGCTGTAGCTTGTGCTGTCACAATTGCTGTGCATCCACTCGCTGATTCACATAGTACAGTAAGTCACAGCCTTAATAAACTGACATGACCCCTGAAAACTATTCTGCATGATGTTCCCAGCTGTGCTGCTTTGAGAGAAGCTCTTCAGGACTTTAAAGAGCTCGAAGTGAGTTCTTTTAATACAAAATGTAAAATATTTTTAAAAAGCATACTCACCACGGTCGTTTTACGTAGTGCAGCCAATGTACCGCAGGTGCAGTGGGATGCCTTTCTACAGCGTTTGGATGATGAGTTACAACTGAGTCCTAAAATACACAATGTCGATCATCAATCAAAATGCATTTCACCAGATACGCCGCTCATCGATGCCAGAACTGGAGAGTGGGTTTGATGAAAGTCTTTAATGCTTCCACACTTATTAAAAAAGCGTAACAATGAACCTCATATATCTGCCAGTTTTTATGCGTCATTGGTGCTGTCTGCTTTGCACCTTTATATTTTACTGAGGCTTTGTGTTTGACAGAACAGTAACGCTGCAGAAATATCTTGGGAGAGGTAAGAAGATATTGCTGGTGTTAATCCGTCAGTTCTCCTGTCTGCTCTGCCGTCTACACGTTCAAGATCTGCAGAAGAATCAAGTAAACATCACACACCTAATAACAATGCTTAACCAAAAAAATGATTACCAAAGAGTTATAAGGTGAAAACTTTGCATATCTCAACATGCTGTGCAGTGTGTCTTTAAGGGAGGGAAACAGGGAGAAAGTGGTAACAGGTCTTGAGCCCAAATTTAAAAGTTTTGGGTCTAATTGTAATCAGTGTGTGTAGAGGAAATCATTAAAGAGGAAGTAGTGAGTATCTACAGTCATCCGTAATACACGACTCTATCATGATATGGGGCTGCATTTCAATCAGCGGTGTTGGGGTTCTTGTCAATAAATGGTATTATGAATGTAGAAAAGTATCATCAGATGTTGATACACCACGCAATAATGCCATCTGAAAGTCGTCCGATTGACAGTCATCCCAAAAACACTGCTAATGCAGTAAAAGTAAACATGGATAGATAGAAAAACACACAATGAAACATAATTAGGCATACACTGGCCTCCCCACATCCTGGACTCATTATTGAAGCAGTGTTTGATCATTCAGTTTAATCAAATTCAATAGTTTTATTTATATAGCACCAAAATCCCAACAATAGCCTCAAGGCTATCAGGCTCCCCCCCACCATTCTCTGTTAAGATACCAGAGAACGGAACAAAAGGCAGCAACATCCAAAGAAGAGTTTTGAATGCCCTAAGTTCAAAGTACACATGCTGTTTTTGCCCCATACACTGTGTTCCTATTTTCTTTTTTTCAGTAAACTGTTGGCTCAAGACTTCTGCACCATGGTGTATATGCAGTGTGATATTCTCATAAATATCCACAATCAGCTGGTCTCTAAAATCCCCCAGTACAGTATATAAAACTTACATATACTTTTATCTCTAATGTTACTTTGCAGAGTTCTCTGGATGCACACTCAGTACAAGTGGTGGTCATTTCGTTTGGCTGTCAGGAGGGAGCATCATACTGGGTAGACCAAACAGGCTGTCAGTACGACATGCTGCTGGATCCCAGTAGAAAGGTCAGGGGTCAACATCAGACAATACACATTTCAGTCTTTGATGAATAAATAAATTAACTCATTGTTTGGTATTGCAGATGTATAGTGCATTTGGTCTGGGAGCATCTCTGCAGAAAGTGTTAAACTTCGGTAACATGCTGATCTACTCTGAATATGTAGCGAACGATATGGAGTTTCCACGAGAACTTCCGTGGATTCAAGACGACATGTTTCAGGTCATCAGAATTCAATATGACTATTTTGTGCAACACATCTATCTATGTATTAATGAATTCTAAGAGGTGATAGAGAAATTCACTAAATTTTCACCACAAAGAAAGACTTTTAAGATTTATGAATCATTTCTCGTTACTGTCATTTGTTCCAGCTGGGAGGCAACTTTGTTTTGGACGAACATGGAAGGGTGTTGTTCTCTCACCGCTGCCAGAGTCCAATAGACCGACCCTCAGTGGAGGACATTTTATCTGCACAGTGAATATTAAAATCCTTCATGCACGGCATGACTTAATTAAAGGAAAAAAGAAACAGATGATGTCAGCTGATTCATTCTTTGTATCAAGTTAAGATAAATGTGATTATTAAGCCATCTTTGAAACGATAATTTTGTGAGAACTGCTTTAAAGGTATTACTTTTTTTTTTTATACAGTGCTGTGAAAAAGTATTTTCCACCTTTTAGATTTTTTCTTTTTTTCCTTATATGTCAAATGTATATCTTTCAGATCATGAAAAAAATGTCAGTACTGGGCAAAGATAACCCAAAGATAACCCCAAATAAAATTATTTTATTTATTAAGGGAAAAAAGTTATCCAAATCTACCTGTGAAAAAGTAATTGCCCTTAAACCTAATAACTGATTGTGCCACCCTTGGCAGCAATCAAGCGTTAGCAAGAACTGGCAATGAGTCTCTCACATCGCTGTGGAGGAATCTTGGCTGCTGCTCTTTGAAGAATTGTTTTAATTCAGCCACATTGTAGGATTTTCAAGCATGTACGGCCTCTTTGAGGTCATGCCACAGCATCTTAATCAGATTTAAGTTTGGATTTTGATAAGGTCACTCCAAGCCTTTATTTTAGTTTTGGTATTTTTTAGCCATTCAGATATCCTGCTGTATTAAGTGAATCAAGTGAGCTTGAACTTCAGTGTATAAACTGATGACTGGACATTCAGGACCTTCTGGTAGAGAGCAGAATTCACAATCAATTACAAAACGTAATGGAGGCACAAGCAGCAAACCAGCCAAAGAGACCAGATTCAGATTAAAAGTTTAAAGATAAGATGATGAAATAGGAAGTACATTAAATATGAAAACGTATGACAGACACAATATCACTGCACTGTCCCAGTTTTCCACTTGGAACTCTTGGATTGCATTAACACTACGGGTAACTTGCACATATGTCAAGGCATCTAAGTGTTTAACGACACACAGCCCTTTTAAATTACAGCTCCACAGTAAGAGTATGCATCCTAAACATGTCCGAAGTGCACATCTGTCACCCACTGACTGCATGTAATGCATTGTCACATGAAACAAAAAGTGCAAACTGCTGAGTGGTTGAAGTCCAACATCAGGTAATAATAACAAACTACAACTTATGGTTGGGTTTCCACAGTTTGCAATTGCTTACACAGCATTGCGAAAATGAGGTGATGCAGCACAGCCTCTATTCTAAGGTCTGAAGCCTCTTTTGTCCTTTGATAAGTGATAAAACCTGGTGTATAAATGAAGTCCATTTAAACATGGCATTTTACCTTAAAAAGCATACATTTTGCAGAAACAATAACTGTTTTCAACTTTAAAATCTGATGTTAAAACTGCTACTTCTCATATCTGAGTTTCAATCAATGATTAGAAAATGATGCAAGAAAAATTCTCGCCAAATTTGCAATAGCAGAAGAAGAGCAGTTCAAAAATATATCTTAACGATAAAAATCAAGATGAAGGCTGAAGGCAGAAAATGCACCTCTGCAGACATAAATCACAGGATCAAGCTTCATAATGCTGCATGTTTAATGACATAAGCCTGCGCAAAACCCTTGAAATGATGAGCAGTAAACTCAAGAGTTATAAAAAGAAGCAGGCCTTTGATCAAGACTCTTCTTAGACATCTTCAGACTAGAACTGCTTAAGAGACCCATCATTTTAAGACAGTCCTTAATCACCAGAGATGGCAAACGTGGACAAACTCATCATGCAGATATGAGACTTTGGGCCATTCCAGAGGAAGATTGCCACACTTGATAGTTTTCGCTTTTGTACTTGTTGGAGTTGTTTTCTTAGGCCACACTCTGGATCACTGGTGCTGGAGTCATGGATCTGAGGGCCTCTGGGAGGAATGTGGATGGAGTGATGTCAAGGTGCGGGACGTGACCATTCCCCACTCAGAACAGTCTGGATCTTTCAGCCGTTGTGAGAGATTTGCAGTGGAATGGAGCGAAAGCCAAAAGAAATATGATGAACTTGACTGGCAGCGGATTTCTAATGCAACCCAGACGGTGGCGTGCGAAAGCAGATGGGTGTTAACCGCACTACTATTGTTTTAAAGGTAAATGGTCATTTTTTTTCCTATTTCTCCAATGATGTCATAGTATGATGCCATATATCGTTAAATTGATTTTACAGCTGTTGTAATTGAGCTCATGGGTTGCGTTTGCATTAGACTGATTCATGTTTTGACTACTTGAGAAGAAACTCATTGCATCACATGTAATATTCATGTGATGTTGTGTAACTCTGGAACATGACCTAATCTGTCCTGCAGCTAAAAATAAAACAAGTGAGCCATGTTACCATGAGAGTTTTAAAGAAATCCATTTTCAGTTGTGAAAAGAAGTCTTTTCCTGGATCTAAACTTTCCAATATTGCCCCCCTTGCTATTCTCGTCACACACATTTGTTTGTGTTCTTTGGTTTTTACTAGGTTTATTTTACTGTTATAGTGATGAAATCACAAAGAAAAACAGTGTTAATCTTTGTGTTTCTTGGAATTCCTTCCCACCTAGTTTTTAGATCCTGGCTCGCCGACATGAATCAAGTTTCCCTGGCATGTGGATTTTTCATTGGAACTTTTCTGACAGGTTACCCAGCTGTCAGGTTATAATAAACCTATGACAATAGGTGCACCAATGACAACACATTTTTTTCTTTTCACCAACAAATCAATTTAAGCATACCCCTCTAACTCATTGACCCTAGATGACGTCACCGACTGATTCATGGACCTTTTTGATTGCTTGTTTAGCATTTTAGTCATTTCATCACTCTTTTAAAACAAGATATCAAATCACTGAGGATATAAAGTAGCAACTTACAGGGTAGCAATGCGTAATCTTTCCTTGGATTGTCATCTGATTTACTTTAAATTGGAAAATAATTTATAAAATGATCATGATTTTGTACTAAGTAGGGCTTAAAACTAGCGATTCCAACTATAATCTCATAATCAAAATGAATAGTGACATATCAAATCAAGTGAAAACTACACAATGATTTCTTGTACATTTTTATACTTTTATTTTTTAACTAGAGAACCCCCTGTTGGCCACTAGATAGAATGGAGGTTTAAGGAGCCCTATTCTTAGACTTAGCAGCTATCTATCCATCTTTTACACTAGGTTGTTGGCTGCGAAAGATCAAATCTACCCTTTGATGATTAATTTAGCATATTTTGTCACATATTGTCTCCTTTGTTGTGTTAGACTGATCCGCTTTCAATGTTCTGCTAAAACATGTTATTTTCTTTATGTAGTGATTGAGTTCTTTGGGTCCAACAACAGGAAATTTGTGGCCATGGTGATTTGAACTTCCTACTCTATTGGCATGGTTATCCTGCCTGGCTGGTCTGGCTTACTTCCTGTCCTCCTGGAAGACTCTGCAGCTGGCCATGAGTCTTCTTTGCATCCTGTTTATCTCAAACCATTGGTATGAATATAATTTTCCTTCAATGTGACACATTCAATGCTTAATCTTCACTTCATATTCACGCTGAGTCCAATAGTAAGTTGTGTTATGTTTGTTAAAAGGATCCACACTGGTTGTTTTCACAACAAAGAACTACGGAGGCCATGAAAGTTGCTGCAAACAATGCTAAATGCAATGGGAAATGTTTACCACATGATCTACCAGAGGTATGACAACATTTTTGAACAACTGTATAATCTTATTAACATAGGAGATGCAATTTACAAATGGAATATTTTAACAGTCTATTAAAATGTTTTTAGATCATTCATTAGGAGTAAAAGAAGGAAGTACACCCAATTATGTCAATTATGGACTTGTTCAGGACACCAAATATAAGAAAAAACACT